ATCTTCACTACTAGTATATAACCAATAGAGCCCCACCATAACCCCAGAACCCCCAACCCAGGGGCCATGAGATTCACAATTTTGGAAGAGACATTCTTCATGTTCTTGCTTATCATAACTATGTACTTGATTAGTTTTTTAATACCCAGGAGGAGAGAAGAAGTTTTTCAAAGAATTTATGCATTTTCACTATATGCTTAATAAAGCCCCGCCGTAACACCAGAACCCCTGACCCTAGCTGCAGATCTGTAAATTCGGTCCAATATGCTTCGTTCAGATGTCAACTACGAGAGAACTTGATAGAGGAGAAAGGAATGTTTAAAATCTTCCCTTTTTGCAATTGAGGCAAGAATTAGGAAGCATTAATCAAGAACCGAGCGCACTTTTTTGTGCGCAATAAATATACAGTTTTTTCAATGGGTGGCACTGTAGCTCTCCGGTCTATCAATATATTTTTTTCGGAGAGCTACAGATCTACAGCTACCCTGACCCAAGGGCCATCAAATTCACAAATTTGGAAGAGGCACTCTTATTCAACATAACTATGTACTTGTTTAGTTTATTTAATACCCAGGAGGAGAGAAAATGACTTTTAAATAATTAAATGTACTTTCACTATATAATCAATAGAGCCCCATCATAACCCCAGAACCCAACCCAGGGGCCATGAAATTCACAATTTTGGAAGAGGCAGCCTTATTCAACATAACTCAGTGTATATACTTATTTAGTTTATTTAGTGCCCAGGAGTAGAGAATAAGATTTTCTAAGAAAAAATGCATTTTCACTTTATAATATATTTAGCCCCGCCCTAGCACTAGAAACCCTGACTCCAGGGTCATGAATTTCACAATTTTGGCAGAGGACTCAATGCTGATTACAATTATGCAAACAGTTTGACTGCTTGATGTCCAGGAGTAAAGAAGAAGATTTTTAAAGATTGCATTAATTTTAGTGGTTTTGGCCCCATCCCTCAGGCCCCAGAGGGGCAGGGACCATGAAATTCACAATATTTGTTCCACTTCACCCATAGATGCCAAATTTGGTAGAAATTGGTTGAGTGGTTGCAGAGACGAAGCTGAAAATGTTCAAATGTTAACGCACGACGCACGACGGACGAAAGGGTGAGTATCATTACCGCTACATTTTCAAAATTTTCATAATCGCTACATAGTCATTACTGCTACAAAAAACGTTACATTACCGCTACATTGTCTCTTGCGTTAGCCAGCGTTTTATGCGTGCACATTTCAACATATAAAATTATATGCATGTTTCCCTTATTTACCACAGGCAGGTGAAAGTAGGACTTAGAGCAGGATGAGTTTCTTTATTCATTTTTATTTTTTTTAAAAAGTACATACAGAGTGTACTTTATTTTATAAAACATTTTAAAGAGTTTATAATCAAGCAAGGTCCATAGATATAAAAACACATATTCTTTACACATTCCACTACACACTAATATAATTTATACTCATTTTGATTAGAATTCAGATCCAATATGTAGTTTCGCTTCATGCTGATTGAGTTACATTAACTATAACTTATGTTTCGTGTCGTTGCTGGCCGATTCGGTTTGTAGCGGTAATGAGTTGTTTTCGGCATAGTTCCTTTTGATAAAATGTAGCGGTAATGATCGCCCGAAAATTTAAGAAAATGTAGCGGTAATGAGTTGAAATTTTTTGCAATGTAGCGGTAATGTTGACCTCCAGAACGAAAACGGATAGCAATAGGTCACCTGAGTTTACCAGGTGACCTAAAAATAGGATGTACAATACTTAATTAAAAGGCTTTTTAAAAGAGGGTTTGTTTTCGGGGATTCATATTGTCCCGTAGATGGAATTTTAACAACTCTGTCCTACGTCTTGTCTTTCTTTTGGAATGGAATAAACTGACGTTTTTGAAATAAGTTAGCCCCTTTTATATTGAAGTATATAAACGTTTGTATGTATGGTAATGTTCTAGTAGGTAAAACTTCTTCCAGTAGTTGTGATAAATATGATGAAATACTACAGACTTTGAAACAATGCACTAGAGAATTTGACTTAGGTAAACTGAAAATTGTTTCTTTTCCAATTATTTTGTTAACTTAATGTAGTTTAAAGATCTTTTTAGGCTTGACTCACGTTTGCATTGTGTAGGAAATCCCACTTTTCCACCAAATCCACAAATCAGTGCTTTCGGGGAAAATCGCTTTTAATTTCTTTTTATTTGGAAGTGCTTCTTTAAGTGCACAACTGGCATTTGTTTGCAAGGAAAATTAAATACATTCGATATCTTGCTGATTAAAACTCTTCTGAAAGACATGCAGATAGTTACTATACCAATTGAAGATAATGCTGCCAAACATTCGAATGACTTTTAAACACTTTCTACATTTTCTTTTTCAAATTCATATTGTCCCACCCTAGACAAAAATGTACTTCACAAAAGTTAAATGTTAAAAGGAAATGTTTGACCAATGAGATTTAATGTCCCCTCACTTTCGCGAAAGCGGGGTACAACAAAAAGAAGAGGGGAGGCAACATTCATACATGTAATATATGGATAGAAAAAAGAAAAATATGTGTCATTTTTGATGGGTGTCAATCCAGAAAATGAATATCTTTGAAAAAAATTCATAAAACTGAGAGTTGATAGCCACTATCTTGTTTTCTCTTCAACTGATTAAAATTTTGCCAAGTATGCAAGGGTTTGTTAATATACTGTGAAATCACTAATTTTCATGGGATTTCATTTTTGTTGTTTTCTAGGTGTGGAGAGACCCAGAATTTATAACCACCATATAATGTAAAATTTCACATGCAGTATTACATGTACTTAACATTTTCCAACCAGGAAATCAAATCCCCACAAACCAATTCTTTTTCCCCATATCTCTCAAATTTGACCCCACGAAAATATATGATTTTACAGAAAAAGAAACATGTTTAACATACATGCAGTTGGAGGTTTAATTGTCAAGTTTTGCTCAAAGCAAACCTACGCATCATTTCTCCATTGGTACTTCACAGAATTTTCTATTTTTAGTCGTCCTTATAACACCTTTCATTGAAGGAAAAACTAATCATTTAGAGAAAAATAATAACTTATCTAGAAGAAGTGTACTTAGATCCTAGGATGCAAAAGTGTCTATAAACAAGAGGCCCATGGGCCACATCGCTCACCTGAGAAGCTTTGACCATTCCGTTCTTTACCAGATTTCCCCCTTGTAATACATATTGTGACCCCACCCTACCCCACTGATAATAATTTAGACAATTTGAAATCTACACTACCCCAGGATGCTTTGATTCCCCATTGTAAAAATTTGATTCCCCATTGTGGCCCTGCCCTACCCCTGGGGGTCATGATTAGAAAAATTTAGAATCTAAACTACCCAGGATCCTTCCACATAAGTTTCAGCTTTTCTGGCATATTGGTTCTTGAGAAGAAGATTTTCAAAGATTTTTCCTATATATTTCTATGTAAAATTTTGATTCCCCATTGTAGCCCCGCCCTACTCCCGGGGGTCATGATTTGAACAAATAAGAATCTACACTACCCCAGGATGCTTCCACATAAGTTTCAGTTTTTTTGGCCCAGTGGTTCTTGAGAAGAAGATTTTCAAAGATTTTTCCTAATATATATATCTAAGTAAAACTTTGATTCCCCATTGTGGCCTGGCCCTACCCCCGGGGGTCATGATTTGAACAATTTAGAATCTACACTACCCCAGGATGCCTCCACATAAGTTTCAGCTTTTCTGGACCAGTGGTTCTTGAGAAGAAGATTTTTAAAGATTTTTCCTAAATATTTCTATGTTAAACTTTGATTCCCCATTGTGTCCCCGCCCTACCCCCGGGGGTCATGATTTGAACAATTTAGAATCTACACTACCCCAGGATGCTTCCACATAAGTTTCAGCTTTTCTGGACCAGTGGTTCTTGAGAAGAAGATATTTTAATGACCCCACCCTATTTTTGTCTTATCTTGATTATCTCCCCTTGTGAGGGGACTTGGCCCTTCATTTTAACAATTTAAATTCCCCTTCATATAAGGATGCTTTGTACCAAGTTTGGTCAAAATTGGCCCAGTGGTTCTTGAGAAGAAGTCGAAAATGTGAAAAGTTTACAGATGGACAGACAGACAGACAGACGGATGGACGACGGACAAAATGTGATCAGAAAAGCTCACTTGAGCCTTCGGCTCAGGTGAGCTAAAAATCAGACCAAAACTGTAGGAGGAGGAGTGCTTTGAAAGTATTCCACAGAGAATTCTATATTTAGTAACCAGTGAAACACTGTTCATCAAAATAAAAAAAAAACAGTACTCAGAATTCTGTATCTTCTTGTAGTCTACTTGTGGTATACTGAAATCAACCAAAACTATTGGAGGTGTACATGGTGTAGCATTTTCAATTTTTTTTTAAGATAAAAAGACAGGCACTTAACCATAGATTAAGCTCTTCTGGTCTCTGACCAGACCAGTAGAGCTAAAACAAAAACAAACACAAAAATCTTCCTTACACATAATATGTACTTCTATTCATGGTAGGGATCCTGTGATAAGCACAGGTGAAATGAGGTGACCAGTTAGTTTTCTGCACACTTGTGGAGAATAAAAACAGAACCGAGTTCACAAAGAGACTAGGGCATTGACTGTTATTGACCTCAATCCCCCTCCAAAAATCAAATCATTCATGTTGCCATGCACAAGGCAAGACAACACAACCTGCGTGTGACAATACGTCTGACAAAACACCTCAACTGATAATGGAAGTCTCGATTTTACTTTGACCCTGAGTAAGCTTTTGTGCCTTATCTGACCTACAAAACATTCTAATATATTTACATTTTCTTAAAGGACAAAATAAGTCTTACCTTCACCTCAGTGATGTGTACATATTTTTGTTATTTTTGTTCTTGTCTGTAACTAGACTTCTTGTATGCCTTTTTCATCCCTTTTCCTCTTTAAATTATACCCTGGTACATATATTCAATAGAATGTCTTTCTTTTATTTGTTTGATATACATGTGCATTAAATATTCCTTTTCATATTACAAAACTGTACATGCAAGTACATGTAGTTGGCTTTCACATCAAAGAAAATGAAACAAGCTTCAACAAACATATCAACACTAAATATATCAGTCATATCAGTCAATAGGTGACCATTTATCTTTTGCATGACGTTTAACTGCAATTCTGATTATAATACCTACATAACTTAGGTATCTTGCAAATCTAAATTTATTTCCTTTACAGTCATTTCAAATGTTGCCTTTCCTTGACTGGATGCTAGCACCACACAATTCAAAGGTCCAACATGTCTGCCCAGTACAGAGGAAATATCATAGCCCTGATAAAACAAATGAGGGAAAAAATCTGTTTAACATTTTAATTTGATTCTTTTCCCTTCAGTAAATCACCACAGTAATTCATTATTATTATACACTCTGACAGAGGATGTGATAATATGGGGAAAGGAAGGGGGTATTGAGTTGATGTAACCTTCCAGTTACCACAATTAATTTACAGTAAATATTCTTATATAAAAATAACAGTTTCACTTTTTAAATTGAATCAAGAATCAGTTATAAATATAAGGAATACATTGGAATCTTTTTAATTTGTAGGAGTCAATGCTCGTGGTTAAGCAAAGTTTTAGGGATGCAATTTTGCTGATAACTTGTAACTATAAAAAAAATTCAATAAATAATTCTATTGAAAAATAATTGCTTACACAGGGGGTGAAACTTTGTGGATAAGGGTGACCCTTAAACATTGTTTCCTCACAAAAGTTAATTATTCCACAGAATCAGTCTGTATTTGGGGGGGGGGGGGGATGATGTTCAAACAGTTTGATTCATCATTTATTTCTAAATGCTTTTTGGCATTTATGCAAATTATCATTAGAGCTGACATTATCACATGATAAAACCAAAAACTGGAAAGTTAATCATTATACCATCATATTGTCATTATGATTTACCATTTGAAAATGAAACAGCTGTAGAACCTATCATTTGATAAAAGCATGTAAAATTCTAGTGCAAAGTAAGTGCAAGACAAATGGTAACAGATAGTCTTATAATGTACCTACCTCCTCTGCTTCGTCTGAGTCAGGTAGAATTTTCTCTATACTGGACTGGAGAAGCTTTAACAGATAAAAAGTTAATAACTGAGGTCAAAAGTACAACCACTTTTCACTATAATGTTCAGTTACCGTACATTTTCCTCTTATTCTCTCTACAGTAAAACTTGGTAAAAAACGAAGTCACTGGGACCTATGAAATTACTTCGCTATATCCATAATTCGTTATATCCGTTCAAGGAACTCATTTAATTTATATAGCTGGGGATCCGAGATAATTTCGCTATATCTGTAAATTTGCAATATCCGTGTTCACACTAAGTGAGTTTTGCTGTATTAAGATAATGTCATATTTAGCTTTTATCTTGTATACCTCCACAGACACCTTCATTTCTGGGTGATCTGGTGACAATTTATTGTGGGATGGTGACACAGATAGATAAACTTTCAGTTTCATTCTTGTTAATGGTTCCTTCACAGCTCTCTGACAGGTAAGACACACAAGTTGTCTGAAAAAGTCAAGCATGAATCTAATAGCCCCACGTCCATTACATACTGTAAACCAACTTTTATTCGCAGCGACTTCATTTCACGATTTACCGGGGCAAATCAGTTCACGGCGATTAATTTTCTAGATTATGCCTATTTAAGTACTCTTGTTAATAGACACATAGACTTTAAGAACCGGTTTCCGGCAAGAAATATTTCGTGATGATGAGGCTTTCGTGAACTTCATGAAAATTTCTTACATAAATCGAATAAAAGTTGGTTTACAGTATTATTAATCAACAACTGTTTAACAGTCAACTTAAAAAAAACACCAGGTTCAGTTTGAGTAAAAACAAATTAAATTTCTTACTGTGTATTACAAGAATTTTACTGAAATTTCAGCAGACTTCTAACTAATGTTAGAGACAGTGTTGTGTGAATTCTATTGTAATTTCACCATTTTTCCCAATGTTACCCAAAGTTAGAGACTGTGTGTTGTGTGAATTCTATTTTACCTGCTGTTGGAATCCTGAGCCAGGTTTTCTTGTTGACATTTGTCACACACATCCCAGGTAAAAGCCGAGTTCTCGTCCACATCACACACAGTTCCTGTGACCAATCATAATAACGTACATAATATCGGGTGTAAAGTAAAACTGCAAACTCATTCAATTTTTAAGTTTTTTGCTCACCTGAGCTGAAGGCTCAAGTGAGCTTTTCTGATCACATTTTGTCCAGCGTCCGTCTGTCTAGCTGTCCGTCTGTCTGTCTGTAAACTTTTAACCGCTGCGCCAATTTCAACCAAACTTGCCACAAAGCATACATGGGTAAAGGGGATTCAAGTTTGTTTAAATGAAGGGCCACACTCTCATTTCAAGGGGAGATAATTGGGAATTAATGAAAATTTGGTGGCATGTTTTAAAATACTTCTTCTCAAGAACCACTGTGCCAGGAAAGATGAAACTTATAAGGAAACATCCTCTGGTAGTGTATATTCAAGTTGGGGCCACAATGGCCGACCAAAGTTTTACACAGAAATGTAAAGGAAAATTCTTTAAAAATTTTCTTCTCAAGAATAACAAAGCCATAATTGATCATATAATATGGAAGCATTTTTAGGTTGTGTAGATTCATATCTGTTCAAATCATGACCCCCGGGGGTAGGACAGGGCCACAATGGCCAACCAAAGTTTTACACAGAAATATATAGAATTTTTTTTTTTAAATCTTCTTCTCAAGAATTGCAAAGCCATAATTGATCATATTTATACGGAAGCATCCTCAGGTAGTGTAGATTCAAGTTTGTTGAAATCATGGACCCCAAGGGTAGGGCGGGGCCACAATTGCTGACTAAAGTTTAACATAGAAATATATAGGAAAATTCTTTAAAAATCTTCTTCTCAAGAATAGCAAAGCCATAATTGATCATATTAATATGGAAGCATCCTCAGGTAGTGTAGATTCAAGTTTGTTGAAATCATGGACCCCAAGGGTAGGGCGGGGCCACAATTGCTGACTAAAGTTTAACATAGAAATATATAGGAAAATTCTTTAAAAATCTTCTTCTCAAGAATAGCAAAGCCATAATTGATCATGTTTATATAGAAGCATTCTCACGTAGTGTAGATTCAAATTTGTTCAAATCATGACCCCTGGGGGTAGGGCGTGGCCACAATGGCCGACCAAAGTTTTACAAAGAAATGTATAAGCATTTTTTTTTTAAGAATCTTCTTCTCAAGAATAGAAAAGCTATAATTGATCATAGTTAAATGAAAGCATCCTCAGATAGTGTAGATTCAAGTTTGTTCAAATCATGACCCCCGGGGGTAGGGCGCGGCCACAATGGCTGACCAAAGTTTTACATAGAAATATATAGGAAAATTCTTTAAAAATCATCTTCTCAAGAATAGTAAAGCCATGATTGGTCATGGGACTACTTTTGGATTTAAACTTTTCAATAATAAACCAATTTCTACTTTTTTCCTAGCCACAGTGCTCAGGTGAGCGATGTGGCCAATGGGCCTCTCGTATTGAGTTAATATCAGGAGTCCAGATAATGGTAAAATATCAATACAACCAATCGTAACCAGTTTTCTTTTTGCAATGTGAAATTCTCATGTTTGAATTTTTAGAGGACTCTTTTCTGATCAAAAAAAAAAAAAAAAACGACAGAAAAGCACTCAAGCTTTGATATTTGGTAACCTTACCAGACACAATACAGAGATCAAATGTGGTTAATCCTGGATGAATGGGTTGGAGATTAAGGTCATATGAACTTCTCAAGGTCTCTTGGTTCTGTTTAATGATATGACTGTACAAGTCACATGTCAGCCTACCTAGACATAGAGAGAAAAAATTCAAAAATTAAAGTGGTTTTCACTTACCTTACAAAACTGAATAATCTATCAATAATTACCAAACGTATGTCATTTTCTTAAGATCATTATTTTTCAATTTTGAATTTGAAATCTTTGTCCCATTATGATTAAATTTCATTTATACTTTTAACATATAAGCCTCCAAAGGAATATCACTGATAACAAAAAAGTAAATGTAATCCAAACCTGACTGACAGGCAACGTCTCTAAACTTCCACGTTCTGTTTTTTAATTGGGTCGACAAAGGCAAGGGAAACTCTGCAGTGGTTGTCATGGTGATGTATCTAGGATTGGTCAGACTCTGATCCCTAATGTAGAGGACAGATTTGTGGGATCTACGACTGTCTGATAAAGGTATGCCATCCTTAACATCTCCCTGTACAAAACAGCATCACAGAGCATATCAGTTTCACAATTGCATACTCGTTTCTTTTGGGGATAAACAACTTAGTTTAGCATATCACACAAGCCTTATTTAATGAATCAAAGCTGCAGCTATCAAAATATCAAACAAATATATGTACAACATGGTCAAAGCTTGGTATTTTATAGATAATTATAGAGAATAAATTGCTGATTGCATTAATATACATTTATTATTCTTTTATTACACTCTAACATGTTCAGGTTGTATTCTATGTATTGCATTATGAGATCTCACCATTTCTAATTGGAAAAGTACTTGACAGCAAAATGATAATCTTGTTATTTCTTCTACCTAGAAATGTAAAAATAAAATTTCTAACTATCATCAATCTTAGCATGTTGAATTCATAACATAGCCGTGGTATTAATCAGGGAAGTTTTAGAGACTGGTAAAAGAGGACTTTTTTCCAACCAATTTCTTTTGCCTTAATATCCCACTGTCCATAAATGATGAAGATAAGTAACAATCAGAAAGTCATAAATTAGGAAATCCATTGTTTACGTTACTTTAATGAGTGCCCTGGTTTTTTGGCTCAAGTTTTATTACTCTGATTTTAAAAAAAAAAGTTAAAACTGTTGATAAAACATAAGTAATCAAAGATTACGAAGCTCACCTCGACGAATGTTATCAGTTTAAGCAAAAGTTTAATGCAAATCTCACATCATATTTTCTTAATATTTAGTATTCATCCCAACAACAATATTCTTGCAAGTTGTGTTAAACCCCTTACATGGCATATACACATTTCTAAGCCTGTAGCGTGAAAAATATGTATATGTATAGTGTAAACAAATATTCATAACTGTTAATAATGCAGATATCAAGGTTTTCAAGTTCATTCGGATTGATCTGTTCCCAAAACTTTAACCAAGTCTCTTGTATGGAAAATATAGGTCAGATCCAGCATCCGAAGCAAGTCTGTTAGTGTCCATCCTTAGATGCATCATCCATGCAAGTTTGGTTTAGCTAGGGCTTATAGTTACTTGGGAATGAAAATGTAGGTCAGATCCAGCATCCGAAGCAAGTCTGGTAGTGTCCATCCCTAGATACATCATCCATGCAAGTTTAGTTTAGCTAGGGCTTATAGATACTTGGGAATGAAAATATAGGTCAGATCCAGCATCCGAAGCTAGTCTGATAATGTCCATCCCTAGATGCATCATCCATGCAAGTTTGGTCCAAATAGGGCTTATAGTTACTTGGGAATGAAAATGTAGGTCAGATCCAGCATCCCAAGCAAGTCTGGTAGTGTACATCCCTAGATGCATCATCCATGCAAGTTTGGTCCAAATAGGGCTTATAGTTCCTGTGGAATGGACCTGCTCCAAAAACTTTAACCTGGTCTCTCATCTGGAAAATGTAGGTCAGATCCAGCATCCGAAGCAAGTTTGGTAGTGTACATCCCTAGATGCATCATCCATGCAAGTTTGGTCTGGGTAGGGCTTTTAGTTCCTTGGGAATGGACCTGCTCCAAAAACTTTAACCTGGTCACTCATCTGGAAAATGTAGGTCAGATCCAGCATCCGAAGCAAGTCTGGTAGTTTACATCCCTAGATGCATCATCCATGCAAGTTTGGACTGGGTAGGGCTTATAATTCCTTGGGAATGGACCTGCTCCAAAAACTTTAACCTGCTCCAAAAACTTTAACCTGGTCACTCATCTGGAAAATGTAGGTCAGATCCAGCATCCGAAGCCAGTCTGGTAGTGTACATCCCTAGATGCATCATCCATGCAAATTTGGTCCCGGTAGGGCTTATAGTTCCTTGGAAATGGACCTGCTCCAAAAACTTTAACCTGCTCCAAAAACTTTAACCAGGTCACTCATCTAGAAAATGTAGATCAGATCCAGCATCCGAAGCAAGTCTGGTAGTGTACATCCCTAGATGCATCATCCATGCAAGCTTGGTTCAGGTAGGGCTTATAGTTACTTGGGAATGGACTTGCTCCTAAAACTTTAACCTGGGACGCCGACGCTAACGCCGACGCCGACGCCAACGCCGGGGGTATAGCATAAGCTCATCTCGACTTCGTCGAGGTGAGCTAAAAATCCATTTTAAGGAGAAAACTCAGTACATGTATTTGATCAAGGTTTGCCAGCCTAATTATCTTTTCTTTGGAGACCACGTTGTCAACTCCAGTTGTTTCAACACATATCCTCTCGCCATTCTCTGCTTCTTTCATAAAATAACAGAACCCTGGAGCTGAGGTTCTGCAGAGCTGTAAAATAAAGATGAACATAGCAGACATTATTATATTCCTGTAACAACTCTATACACATGATTTTTTGTCTTCATATATATCAATTACTGATCTCAACATAAAAACCCTCTTCAATAATACACATGATTTGAACATATTTTTTATTGTATATACTTTACAGTTATAATACACATGTACCTGTACAATGTATCTAGTTGGTAATTCACTAAACCATTGTCACTCAGTTTATAAATTTTGTATACAATTAGGTCAAAAAAATGTATTTTTTTTTGGTTCTGTTCACTTGTTTGGTTGGCTGTTTTCTTTCTCCCTTTTGTGTTTGTTATACCCATTAAACAACATATTAAATCCCAGCCCAGTGTAACATTACTTGTATAACATAACTTGCCTCCTCAGAATCAGCAATACTTTCGTCAGTGTTCTGAGTGTCTGCTCTTCTAGACATCAATCCACCACACCATACATTGTCAATCACAGAAAACAACCCAGGCTCCCTATACAAAAACATTCCTTGTATTCTCCAGAGCTCCAGATAAGGTGCGTATTTTCAGAAATATGCATTGAAATTTTCAAATACGCATTAAAAATCAAAGCTGAGCGTACATGTACAATTACGCATTCGTAATCATAAATAAGCATTACACCACGAAAGTACTGCGTACAATTGTTTGAATAATACAAGATAAGTACGACTTAGCTATGATATGATTTGAGGTGAACTCTTTTTTGATATTTTCTCAAAACGAAATACAGATTTAAAAGCGTTTTAACAACCATGAATATTCATACTAGTAATGGAGATAACGATTTCCATTTCGGTAGAAAGAATCAAAGATTTAGCGATTTTGCATAATTTTTAATTTACCGATCAAGAGTTCTCTTAAATTCTCTAGAGTTCTCTGTTTAGTAAGACGCTTATATACGGTTTGTACATAACGTTTATTTTTTATTATGGGTCCATTGCCAATTTCTGATTTCTCTCAACTTGCCATATAAATGAAGATTTTTTCTCTCATTTACTCTTGTTACGATATCATTTTAATGGAGGAAAAGATTAAGTACCTGTGATAACTTTACCTAGTACTGTATGATCTTCCTTGTCAAAAAAGAATGTTTCTCGGTTTTAGCAAAAAGTCTTGTTTGTATTTTCAAAATATATTTAAATAAATGCAGAAACTGCCCTCTGTAGTTTTTTCCTCTTCTAAAATACTTATATATTAACAAAATACTCTGAAACCATTTCACTGAAAATCAAAATATGCATTGATTTGAAATTTAGGGAGTAAATACACTTTGGGGTAAAAAATTATCTGGAGCTCTGATTCTCAATATTTCTTCATACACTCAAAATTGCATTGTTGAATAAAACAAAAGTTCTTGCTTCCAACATTTATCTGCTTTTTAAAATAACACAAACTGCCCAGAAATTTTAACTTTCATTTGACCTTACACTGGACATTGAATCCACAAAACCACCTAAGCAAACTTTATATATCCCTTTAAGTTTTTAAGTCTACCTGTCTCTTGAGCCTTACTTTTAAATAACACTGAATCTGCATTAACACATTAAAGAAATGAAACATATACAAGTTTATCTTCTCTTTTAGCTCTTCAATGCTTGCAAGTCCACCTATATGAGCAGGAGTTAACCTGTCTTGTTTAGGCTACCACTCTCTGTATATATATATACTATACCTGTCTCTTGTGGCCCTGTATTGGACAGTGAGTCCACCAAACACATGAAGCTGTCCTTCTCCACTTTTCAGTACTGATGGAAAATTTGTCTCAAAATTCTCTGGACAAAATACTTGACACATAGTACCATGACTATCTTCTATCAATAGTGAGTATCTTAAAAGATAAACAAAAATTATATTACTCTGATCAGTATATGGTTAAGTACATACATATTATGAGAGTGACATAAAGGTAGGCTGTAGAATATGAAACAATTGCATCTTTTTCTTTTGTTTTAAAAAAGATCTCAAGATTCAACAAAATACTGCTATGTTATGGACATGTACTTTTATCATTTTAAAGAAGATTGCAGATGTACACGTATATAAGTTGCTCAAAAGCCTATACACAGTCATTGTCATCTTACCTCTCCTCAATGGATGAAGCTCTCTTGTTGAAACAAAACACTCTGAGGATTCTTCCTGAGAATCTAGCACTAGTATCATGACAGTCCACCCACTCCAGAATGGAGGACTTGGTCAGTCGCCCCCTCTGGGAGGCCTGTGTGGCCTGGATTGTGTCAAGGGCAGATAACTCCTCATCATTTTCCAGTTCAGAGTCCTTGTCTAACTGTAAGAATATTTACATGTTAAGAGCAAAGCAAAATTTCAATTCAATGTGATATTTTTTCAGTGTATGCAAAAAGAATTTCTTGTAATGTCGAAGTTTTATGGAGAGACAGACAGAAGGATGGACAACAGGTGATCAGAAAAGCTCACTTGAGCTTTCAGATCAGGTGAGCTCATAAAAATTAATCATTCCATTTTTAGATGGTATAAAATTTCTTGAAATTTTTACCTTGTTAACATATAAGCCTGGAATTCCTGGACTCAGGTGAGCTGGACAGGCAAGTAAACTTCTCACAAGACCTACATTGTTTAATAAGCAGGTACAATAATAATCAAGAACATTTTTACATATTTAAAGAAACTTTTACAAATATTTGTAATGTAGACAACATACTTTCAATATGATAAGACCAGAAAATAAATTGTACCTAGGACACAGGGGCACTTCCAAACAGCAGACACCTCTGGGACCTCCACGTGGTGAGGGTTGGACCTCATGTCTCTTGTTCTGTTACCTGTGTCAGACATTACTGTATCAACAGTCCCCTCATTTGATATGATACAGTAATTAGAGCACAGAAGGACAAGTTGAGAAGATTGTTTTAATCTTATCTGTTGCCTGTAAGAAAGACAAAAAGTTATGAAGAAAACAGTCCCCAGAAAGAAAATGCATCACCAATCATCCGAAAACAACAGAACATAAATTACACATACCATGGAGCAAACACTTGAACCACATTTCCTTCATGTACCGGTTGATCTTGTAGAAACAGGGCTGTTTGTTCCTTGCCGACCTTTACTCCCGACTCCTGCTGGATACAGTGAGCCAGTCGTAAGGAGAACAAGGACTCCAGGCCAGTAATCCTCAGGGTCAGGGACTTGACTGATACGTCCTCTAAAAGTCAAAGTCATAATCACTACATGTGCCATTTATAAAACTTCAGAGACTTTTAAAATAAAATAGTTTTTAATAGGCTTTAATATCAATGAAGCGATGTATTAATGATGCAATTACAATCTGCATTACAATTAACTGTTAACACATTGACAATACAATTTAGATTTACATGTTTAATTTCAATTATTACCTTTTTCTACTAAAGAACCTGATTGAAATTTGGGTGATGTTGTGGATTTTTGATGTTTTGACATGCTGATCATTGATCTTTCTCTTCCTTTAAGACTGAATAACTGGTCAGCAAAACTTCCTCTGCAATCAAAGCACAAGTTCTTCTTACAAATGACAAATCAATTCTTTTGGAACAAAAGTCATCCAAATACTCTGTACAGAGTAGTATGTTCAAATATTTGTTCACACCATGGCATGATTTTAAGAAAGTATACTTTTGATATTTTTTCCTCTTCTTTGCAGAGTCTTCTAACTCTGTGAAGGGAGCATCTTGGGAGTTTTTTGTGGGTGTCTTTAAATCTAGCATCTTGATCCACTGGCTAGCTTTGACCTTTGAACTTTTATCAGGACTCTGTGATTGACTCGTTGATGGAGAAATACTTGCCTGTTCACTAATACAGGGAGAGTCGCAATTAACCTACAAAGAAAGAGAAAACATGAATTAAAAGACCTAGCTTGTTTACTTTCATTGATTTCAGATAAGAAGGATATTTAGAGATTTCAAACATAGGTAATCAGAGATTACAGAGCTATTTCAACGAATGTTGTCTTTAAGTAAGGCAAAGTCACACAATTAACCAACAAAAAGTGTACATCCAAAAATGCAAAATTTATGCAATTTTGATTTGATACTTTGCAATAGACCTATATAAAAACTTCAAACTAGTTCTTCATCATGAAAACATAATTAAATCCAGCATCTGAAGCAAGTTTGAGAGTTTTCACCCCTTGATGCATCATTTTTGCAGGTTTGGTTTATATAAGCCTTATAGTTTCTTGGTAATAGACCTGCACCTATAACTTTTACGAGGTCCATTATCTGGAAAATGTATGTCAAATTCAGCATCTGAAGCAAGTCCATTAGTGTGCATCCTAAGATGTATCATCCATGCAAGTTTGCTCAACACAGAACTCAAAGTTATTTTGAAATGAAACCTGTATAAAAAACTAACGTTTTCACTAATCCAGAAAATGTAGGTCAGATTCAGCATCTGAAGCCAACCTAGTAGAATGCACCCTTAGATGTACCATCCATGCAAGTTTGGTCATTATAGGGCTCAAAGTTACTTGGAAATGAATCCTGCACCAAAAACTTTAAACTGTTCACTCGTCCAGAAAATGTGAGTCAGATTCAGCATCTGAAGCAAGTCTGGTAGTATGCATCCTAAGATGTATCATCCATGCAAGTTTAGTCATTATAGGGCTCATAGTACCTTGGAAATGAAACCTGCACCAAAAACTTTAACCTGTTCAATCAACCGGAAAATGTGGGTCAGATTCAGCATCTGTAGCAAGTCTGGTAGTATGCATCCTAAGATGTATCATCCATGCAAGTTTAGTCATTATAGGGCTCATAGTACCTTGGAAATGAAACCTGCACCAAAAACTTTAACCTGTTCAATCAACTGGAAAATGTAGGTCAGATTCAGCATCTGAAGCAAGTCTGGTAGTATGCATCATTAGATGTATCATCCATGCAAGTGTTTGGTCACTATAGTGCTCATAGTTACTTGGAAATGAGACCTGCACCAAAAACATTAACCTGTTCACTCATGCGGAAAATATAGGTTAGATTCAGCATCCAAAGCAAGCCTGGTAGTGTGCATCCTAAGATGTACCATCCATGCAAGTTTGGTCAATATAGGACTTATAGTTACTCGAAAATGAGACCTACACCAAAAACTGCACCAAACATGTTAACCTGCTCCAAAAACATTAACCTGGTCACTCCTTTGCTGAAATTGCAGCATCTGAAACTTTGACTGGTACAATGAAACACACTAGAAACAACTTCCATGCATGTCTAATCAATATAGGACACAGAAGTACTTAAGAGTCAAAATCAGCAAGCATCGAGCATTTCGTTAAAAAATGTGGAAAGTGGCATAGAAACAGATTTGGTTAAAACTCATATATAAATTTTCAGAACAAAGGGTATGATAGAAAAAGGCAAGCAAAAAATAATTTTTGCATTCATCATCATAAGTTTGCTCAAGCTCAACTAGAAATGGTTCTAAGTATATGAAGGCAAAGCTGTATAATATTATTACATTTTAATTTTATCACTTTTTCAGATTATGAGAATACATTATTACAGTACAGACCATTGATGTTGGAAGTGAGTGGATAGTGTTACCGGAGACTCAGGGATCCAGAAAATAGATCCATAAATTGTACAGTGTATTCATGAAAGTGAATCGAATAAAAATGTTCAATCCAAAAGTAACATTCTTTGTTTGTCTGTTAGCATTTTTTTATTGATGTAAATCTAATAACTATCAATTTTTAGCATGCAGATTCATAATTAGATAGGAGAAGAATCTGAAACATATGTTTATATTCTGCATTTTGAAGTATCATAATTAAAATAAGGTCAATATTAAATGATCAATCAACTAATTTCAAAACTGACAAAATGTTTTTGTGAGAAAAAAGAAACAGGGCTAATTTATATATTGTACCTCATGTACCACTGATGTTGGTCATGTTGGTGTGAGTGAAATAAAAATGACGATGATGATGGTGAACTAGTTTAAAGTCAGACGACACGTTCCTCAAATTTATGTTTTGTATCTCTAGGTATTATATATATAAAATATTAATATTTGTCATTCTATTCTGATTTCTACATTGATTTCAAAATGTTATTAAATTTAAGTACAACAAAAATTTCGATATATGCCACTCAAAAGATTGCTCATTAGGGTTATTAATGAATATCTTTTAGGGTCAGTTCAAGTTTAGACATTCATGTATATATATATATATAGCCATTCCAGATTTTTATTTTAGGCACCAGTAGTTACTGAGGTCTTAGCTGTCTTGCAGTATTGTTTCTTAATTAGGACAGCAGGAGAATATATCATCGATTCAATACCAAAGGTTGCAGTCATTCGTTCTTGACAGACATGGTATCTTTTTTGAAAGTGCATGTTGTAGGGTAGGCATAAAAAACTGCAAGAAAAAAAGGGGGGAAATTCACCAAACTGAGAGGGGGGGGGGGGGGGGGGGGGGGGGGGGGGGTAAACATCAGGTTATGTTGAGAAAAAGGTTGGGTGGGGGATGTCATCCCCCCCCCCCTACCCAACCCAAACCTGATGCTACATGCCTGATATATAAATATGTAAATTTGCCAAACTCATATAGTACACTTTTACTGCAGTGACCTTGAAAAAGCTATGTCCTTGAGTCAAGGTCAAACATGTCCAAATGAACTTTGGTCAAGGTCATGACAAACCTACAGCTCAAAAATAATCCCCGAGATGAAACTTCAAGTTTGTTCATTAGAATGTTACAGAATGTGCGAAGATTGCACTATTCTTTTACCAGTGACCTTGTTCAAATGACCTTGGGTCAAGTTTTTGACACATCTCTAGATCACAAGCAATCTTGATATCAAGTATGAACTTTCAGTGGCACTTCATTGAAATGTTATGGACAAGTCAAAATTTTACATACATATGGATGGGTGAACAAGGTGATTCCTACCCCCTCCCTCCCCCCCCCCCCCCTTTCCAAGTTTCGTTTGTGAGGAATATAAAATTCCTTTTGAAATTGAATGTGCATTTATTTATCAACAATAGTAAAATTATGAGTATGCTTTGATCAGAACCAATGTGACCAATATAATGGACACAGTACATGTATTCAAATTACCCTCACCCCTTCAAAAAAGCTTATAAATGCCAGATTGTCACACATTTTAACCATTTGTAACTTTTTTCTACTAAAGTTGCCTGCAGATTTTATTGTATAGATATGGCATATAGATAACCCCTAACAAGATCACACCATTCATTTTTCCAGCAGTGGTTGTAGATTTTGTGTGTATAGAGATAAACATGCGTAATTTTGTTCAAAATTAATAAGCATTGACGCCATGTTCTTTTCCCGTTGTCATGGCAACAATATCACTACAGAAATTTTGTTTTTCCTATTTTTGGAGAATAAAGTAATTCCATCTTTCAACAAATAAAGTAACCAAAATACCTTATCTTATCACGTTCAGAAAATATATTCATAGAAAAATGTCTAAAAATCATTGATTTTCATAATGATTTATGAACCCGTTGCTAAGGAAATGAATTTCCTTGGATACCAGTCCCTTCATACGTTCAAAAAAAATTTTAATTGTGTTTTAGCATTAGGTAGGACAAAATCTTTTATATACCAAAAGCTTTTGAAAAAATAAAATTTTGACTTTCCATTCAATGCTCGATGCTTGCTGATTTTGACTCTTAAAAAGAAAACTGCTCCAAAAAACTTAACCTTAACCCAGGACGCCAACACTGACGCCGACACCGACGCCGACGCTGAGGGTATTACATAAGCTCCCCCAACTTCGTTGAGGTGAGCTAAAAATCAAGGGGAAGGGGAACTTTGACCCTTGATCCCTCTATTTTCCTGTGAGACAAAACAAATTACAGGATAGCTTTTTTTTTTATAATGATCCAACATAAATTATTAAATTTGTATGCCTTGCTTTTCTAGAATATGATTTATTTTATGGTAACATTAATCTAAAAAATATATATCATTCAGGGCTTTAGTAAAATTGTATTTTGATACGAATGGTTGAACTGACGACAATACCAGAAGTGCTTAATAAAGTACATCAGCAGAATATTTTCAGGTTAATTTTATATGTTGTGTGATTATTGGGTATCTACAAGCACAGTATTCACAGGGATGATAACCAATTAAATTGTTGATGCTTCAAGACATCCCTGGGCAAAAAACTGAAAATATACTTATATCAAATACCAATTTTACCTGTTTTTCATTTTTTGACTGAATTAAATTCTGGGACTTCTCATGGGTGGGGAATGATGACCTTGAATCTTCAGATTCTATGTCAAGCTCAATACCTTCAGATGTCTAAAAGCATATAAACAAAATTCTATTTTGTAATTATTATATATGTCAAATACAAAACAAATTATTCATACCAAACCTATAAGGGTGAAAAACCTTACATTCTTCATGAAATCCTCCACATTGGAGTTAGAATCCGATTCACTGATGACACTGACGTCTTCTGAGTAATGACAAGGCTGTCCTTTCTGCCTCTGAGCTTTCTGGGTAGATGACCTCTGACCTTTGTGGGCTTTATTTTCTTTTTTACGCCTGTTTTTAACTGTTGACATCTGTATATTCTCAGTCTCTTCCTCACTGGAAGTCCAAGTTATGCTATCTTCGACTAAAAATTAATATACACAGTATGTGTATAACACATGTAATAATTAAGATTAATTTCTATTCTATAAGTCTATGGAAATACTTTTTATTTACATTACTGCAAGAATATCAAGGTGCAGAAGTGAGCATTATAAAGGGACGAGAGCTTGACACTAACTGTGATCTTCCTCCTCAGCTGGCACTTGTTGCAGGTCATCCTTATATAACCTACGGCTTCCTCTTCTCTCCTTCGCACGCTTCACACGTCTCTCTTCCATGTCCAGTCCTTCAAATCCCTCAGCACATCTCTCCCAGTCCCGGGGGCGTTTTCTGAATGACATCTCAAAAGATCAACGGCACCTTAGAGGAAAAATTTCATCACAATAATATTCACACAGTATATTCATATTGTTGTTTTTCAAATAAAAACTAACAAAAGACTGTAGGCCTACTCACAGGGGCATCTTATCCACTCTGTTCTCTACTTCACATATAAAAATACACCTTGTGTATTTTTATATGTGAAGTAGAGAACAGAGTGGATAAGATGCCCCTGTGGCCTACTGCATAAAATGAATTGACATTTGAGCTTGATTAATGTTCATTCTATTCATATTTCATTATAAGTACATGTATCTACAGGGATCACTCTGGATTTTAATGTTGATGGGCCAATGGCCCATCAACATTAAAATCCATGGGTCATCCGCCGGGGGTATGGGGGCCGCGTTAGGCCCCCATTGGGGTCCAGGGGCAACGCCCCGGTAGGGGGTCCAGGGGGGCGAAGCCCCCTGGGAAAAATTGATATTTCATGCTATTTTGTGATGAATTTCAAGTAAATTTGATGGGTCTTTGAGGGTTTTTAAATGCCATTTCTGACACAACCAATTTCAGTTTTTTAAAATAAAATGAATAATATTATAAATATAAAAGAAAGTTTTTTTCTTTAAATTTCATCTCAGTACTGAAAAATGTCATATTGGAGAATTGTTTTAGACTTGAGTTCAGACAATAGAGTATTTAAAAAATTGATAAACAGAATACCTAAGTTAATTCCTCGCCCCTTTGATTTTATTGATTTAGTTCTCGAAAGTTGTTGAAGAGCTAAACTATAAAGGATGCAAACTTACATGCACATTTCTCTACTGAATAGACCTGGGGCAGTTGCAGATTAAATTTGGTTCAAATGGTAGGGACTCGTTTTGTATGCAAAGAACTCGGAGCAAAAAACTTAAATGAGAAACTTTTTATTTGTTTGGAAAACATTTTAGTCCCATCTGATCAAACTCCAACCACGGGTGCAAAGTTAGCCACTTGGACTGGAAATGACGAACATCGTTGCCGTTGACACCAGGAGTCAACGTCTTGGACTGTTCTTTTTAATCAGAGACCTCTGCCGAGTCTGGGAATGAAAAAGTTTCCGTCGTTTTATTTGTAAAACAAACGAAAGCTTTCGTTGTTTTGGGTCAGTTGGCCCAATACCAATCGTCGCTTTGGAGGCATTTCGGGCAAGTGTCTGGATACACAATGAGTAACTTGTACTTGTTTTGTTTCGAAATAAATAATCAAAGTTTTAAGAAATATTAGAACATATTACATAGTGGAGTATTACTTTCAAGTGTTTATTATTTAAATCATTACATATAATTTTGATAAATATAATTGACTCAGTATTCGGTAAAAAAAATCTAGTGGCGTAATCTAAACGAAGGAAATATTCCATGTACAATTCCGATTTTAGTCTTGATCAATCAGACGCTCTGCTGGTGTAAAGAACATACGCGGCTACAAAGAGTCTGATTGAACGAGTAACAGTATGCTCAGATACGTCATGAATACAATCGGTCAGCTTGAAAACGGTCCTAAAATGCACCAATATAAGAGTTTCGACCCACAATTTTGCATCTTATAGCGCCATATCTGTAAGACATGCGCCAGACTGACCCCTTTCTAATTTTTTAGTGCGCCATTTACAAATATTGAGCGCCAATGGCGCAAAGGCGCAGCCCAAAGTGATCCCTGATCTATAAATCGGATGCTTTAAAATAATCATTTTGTGGTCTATAACAAACTAACCTAAAAGTGTCTGCAGCTTTCACTTCCATGTAAAGCGCTCGAAATCTGAATCTCTGTAGCGTTTAATTTGTCACCGTCATATATAGGCAAAAAAATCCGAAAAAATGTAGGAAAGAACAAATTTTACATGGATTAACATATTCAATATTTCAAATAATAAAATTAGTTGTTTAATAATATTTTTATATTATCTTAAATAAACCATACCTATTAATTTATACTCTGCAATTGAAATCCGTTTATATCCGAAAGCTATTTTTCTTTGTAAGAACAAGCTTCCAATGAACGTTGATGAACGCCGCTGCACAAAGGCTGAAAGACTGAAGGAGAAATCGGAAGATTGTTAAATATAATGGGCTTTAAGAAAAAGCACAAGAAGCACAAATCTGAAAAACGTTCGCACGATGGTAATGCATATTTATTCAATCACCTTTAAACTAAAAGTTTCACAGAACACAACAACAAAGGGGGAAAGCAGAAAGTGGGAATGTCAATGTGTATAACAAAATCCACTATCCAGTGTTTTTAAAAACATTCTGTGCATATTCATAGTTTGTCCCAAGCATGGTCAATAGGATAAGATTGGACTTCAATTGAGGATCATATGGAATGCTAATACAGAGGAATAAAATCTTTTAAGTTTTGATCTTTTAAACCTCTAGAACATATTGATTTGCAAGCATTGATATGTTTTACGGTGTGACTGTTGGGGCGAGCGCAGTTGTACCATCAAAAACACTTGAAAAACTGATCAGCCACTTCAAACATCAAGCCGCATGAGACATTTAGACTAGCTGTGACGTCACACGAGGTCATGGAGCTCGTCGAAGCTTACGGAGACAGCCGAGCGTCTGGTTGAAACTATAGACCTAGTGCAATATTTTGGTCGAAAAAACATTGCAGAGTTATTTTTTGTTTCTTTGAAAGATTTCTACAAACTTAAGGAGGCTGGGGGGTCAACAAATTAATCACAAATTCACCACCAGATAAGTTAAATCTGGTGGTGAATTTGTGATTAATTTTTTTTAGATACGGTAACTTAAGCTGTCTACTATCATTTCACAAAGAAAAAATTCATACATTTTAGTTTTAAAATTTGATCATTTTCTATATCTTCATATGGAGCTCTCCTTTTAAAGGAGATCAAAATAGTCTGAAAAATGGCTGCCACACCCCAGCCTCGTTAAGCCTTTTATGCTCTACGTTATTATTTATTTATTTACTCGCGCAAAGGACATTGGGTAGTAAAGGAATTTTGGGAATGTTTCACATAAAAATTTACCTGACGTATGTACAGATTTCATTCCGAATTTCCTCTGTTCTTACACATTAGTCTATTGAGCTCGTTGCGCTCGCTATAATTTTCATAATACAGCGATTTGGGGTATTCCACACATGCGACTCTCTGTAACTTACCTTACCACTGAAGAAGAGCACGGTCAAGGTTCCTAATGCTCATTTTGGCATATATATCTCTTGTTATTTATTGTAACAAGTTATAGGGAACTTTAAAATAGTAAATTATATCATTAAATCTTTCCATTGCTATTTGTATTAATATAAAAATAAACCCTCTTAGAAGAAGAACAACAACCTCCCGAGAAAGAGATGCAGCAGGGAGGTCTAAGATTAAAGTTAAAAGTCAGTGGTGAAGTCTACAGTCCACTTCATGACACAGGAAGCACATCAGGGGAGAAGAAGCATAAACACAAGAAGAAGAAAAAGAAGAAGAAGGCTGAAAAAGAGAAGCGAAGACATGCAGAGGAATCTGTACAAGTGAGAAATGTTGTACATCTTTAATTAAAATAATTTGTTTACTGGGCCAGGGGGAAATTCTTGCCCCTTATCATGTATTCAACGTTAAGATGGATCATCTGTATTAATGTTGAAGGCTTAAATTGTTAGGTGTTTTTCATGTTGCAGGGATCGAAATTAACTTTTTTAACCACTAGCAAATTTTAGCTAGTGACTTTTTTTCCTACTAGCAAAATTAAATTCTTACTAGCAATTTTCAAAGTTTACTTTTTTTTAAAATTAAAGATACAGTCATACCTCTCCTTTTGTTTTTGTGTTGACAGGGAACACTTAGTATGTGCCTGCATTTTGAATTTTCATACTATTCTCAATGTTTTTGTAAGAATATATAACATGCATCAAATTTCAGAATATGTAATTTCTTTAAAACCTGACTTGCAAAATAAACTCAGGCAAAGGATTATTTCATTTGTCTTCTGAAAATGGTTGATCATGCAACATTGCACCACATAGTTGAGACAATTTGATCCGTGGCAATGAAGTCTAGTGAAATGTGAAACTCGCGTTCCCATTTTCTAAGGTTTTGACAGAAGCAGTGACGCTAACACCTTCCTGTGTTGAGTTAACATGGACGAGGTCATTATTGTTGACATCTGAAACAGCTGACTGGGATTCGGAAGTGCGCTTATTAGGTTTAAAATATTTATTTAGCGATTGCATGATTGATCATGCATCAAGACGCCTTGGCCTTTCGATCCACGCTATGCATGTTCTTTCGATAAAGCGTCTCTAAGCATAAGATCAAAAGTAAACTTCAAAAGGCAACGAATAAACCTGGAATATCCGGAAAAAGATCGATTTTTTTACTCGCCAAAAATTGCGACCACTGGTGATTTTGAACTCGCGATTTTGATTTTCAACTCGCATTTAGCGAGTATTTCCCTGGAATTTCGTTGCCTGATGTTGTTGACTTATTTGAAAAGTATGGGTATTTATTGGAAAATATTTAAGGAAATGTATATTAACTATCTCAAATAACAACACAGGAAACCCCGAAAAGGAGTAGAGCCCAGTCAGAAGAGGAGGATGCTTCACAAGAGGAGGAGGAGGTAGAACCTCCCGCAAAGAAGCAGGCCCTGGAGGTGGTGACCGCGGAACCTGTCAGGGAGGAGCCACGCCCCGTGGGCCGGCCCAGGAAACAGGAGGAGCATGGTGTACTGCGCATCTGTCTCAAACACATACACAAGATGCTGCAAAAGTAGGAACAATGCTAAAACAAGATTTTTAAGTTCAATTTGGATTGTCAAACTTCTGTGAATATATCATTTAATGGATTTTAGCTCACCTGAGCCGAAGGCTCAAGTGAGCTTTTCTGATCACATTTTGTCCGGCGTCCGTCCGTCTGTCCGTCTATCTGTAAACTTTTCACATTTTCGACTTCTTCTCAAGAACCGCTGGGCCAATTTCAACCAAACTTGCCACAAAGCATCCCTGGGTGAAGGGGATTCAAGTTTTTTCAAATGAAGGGCCACGCCCTCATTCAAGGGGAGATAATTGGGAATTAATGAAAATTTGGTGGCATGTTTTAAAAATTTTCTTCTCAAGAACCACTGTGCCAGGAAAGATGAAACGTATGGAGAAATATCCTCAGGTAGTGTAGATTCAAGTTTGTTCAAATCATGACCCCCGGGGGTAGGGCGGAGGCCAAAATGGCCGACCAAAGTTTTACATAGAAATATACAGGAAAATTCTTTAAAAATCTTCTTCTCAAGAATAACAAAGTCATAATTGATCATATTTATATGGAAGCATCCTCAGGTAGTGTAGATTCTGATTTGTTCAAATCATGACCCCGGGGGTAGGGTGGGGCCACAATGGCCGACCAAAGTTTTACATAGAAATATGTAGGAAAATTCTTTGAAAATCTTCTTCTCAAGAATAGCAAAGCCATAATTGATCATATTTATATGGAAGCATCCTCAGGTAGTGTAGATTCAAGTTTGTTCAAATCATGACCCCCGGGGGTAAGGTGGAGCCACGATGGCCGATCAAAGTTTTAGGTAGACATATAAAGGAAAATTTTAAAAATCATCTCCTCAAGAATAGCAAAGGCATGATTGGTCATAGGACTGCTTTTGGATTTAAACTTTTCAATAATAAACCAATTTCTACTTTTTCCTAGCCACAGTGCTCAGGTGAGCGATGTGGGGCCCATGGGCCTCTTGTTGTAAAAATGCAAATTCATCTTTCTTTTGTATTGGTGTTTATATTAATATCGTTAACATTACAGGAAGGATGTGAATGGATTTTTTGCCTATCCTGTGAACGACATGATTGCCCCTGGATACTCCAGCATTATCCTGAATCCTATGGATCTGAGCACCATGATGTCAAAGATAGAGAGTCACCAGTATAGAAATGTGCTTGAGTACAAAGTCAGTTCTAGTTACACTTACCAGCATCGAGTCTTTACCAACATTAAAAAATGTATATATACTGTAGACGTACTTTTTTCCACGGGGTCATAATTCTGCAGAATCTCAATTTCTTTTTAATCCATGGGTAGAAAATTACATGGATTTCTTAGACTGTCATTATATGCCTTACATTTATATTAAGTATGCTTGAACAAATTTACATGGAAAATTTTAACCACGTACATAGTGTAAATTAATACCACGTGGAAAAAAAAACTTCTACAGTACATTAATCGACATATCTTTCATAAAACGTTGAAGTTCCTTCTCTGAAAGCCATACAACAATGAGTATCCATCTTTGTCTGATTTTACTTCTCTACTTTTTATTAGCTGAAATTATAAGACATGTTTGAAGGATTTTCCATGAACATGATGAAAACTATAGTTAATTTGATTATCATTGTTTATGCAGAAAGATTTTGTTTTAATGTGCAACAATGCCATGACATACAACCGACCAGAAACTATTTACTACAGGGAGGCCAAGAAATTACTCAGTGTGGGAATGAAACTCATGTCTAAGGTAATCAAATAAACCAGAGTACTACACAGAGGGCCAAGAAATTCCAAGTTTGGTCATGAATTGATGTTTTGATGGAAAAAAAAAAATGCGTTAATGTGCTGAGCATGCCTGAAAATTAATGATATCACTTGCTCTTTAGGAAAAACTGATCAACATGAAGAGAAGCCTACCCTTCCTGGCCAGTATGACTTATGCTGAGCTGGGAGTGGAGGAGCCTGATGAGACCACGGCGCTGATGGCAGCCATTGTAGAGGAGGAGAGGCAGGAGAAAGAGAGGGCCAAGGAGAGGGAGGAGTCAGTATCTAGTCCTCGTAACTTTTGACACATATCTGTAGCTTCACATAGAGTGCCATTATAACTCGTATTGCACATCTCTGACTTCACAGAGAGTTCCATTATAAAATGTGTTTGAGGAAAATCAAAATTTTAGGATTTTAGTGAAAGGTACCTACATGTAGTAACGAAAAGTAATGGGGGATATTTGTGGCAATCAAATCAAGCAGAAAGCACATATTTATATTTTGGCTGTTATGAATTGAAATTCTTTGATACCAGTAGCAACGCACATGTAAATAATTACATTTCTCCATTTACAGACTGGGTAGATTTGAGGCAATACCTGACAACCTCAGTCCAGAGGAAATTCTTGCCCAGGCCAGGGCGGCAGCCAAAGATGCAGCGGACATGTTAACTCTGAGGGAACCAAAGAGCAGAGTGAGTAATATAACACACACTGTAGACTCAGACTTAGCTTAAAAGGGTAAACTTACTAACTTCTCTTGCTTAAGTAACTGCATCTGTATTTTCTCTATACTGTGGTGGTGTGCAGTTAAACCTTTTATGGGAATGCTTTAATTTTTTAGCTCACCTGAGCTGAAAGCTCAAGTGAGCTTTTCTGATCACATTTTGTCCGGCGTCCGCCTGATTGTCTGTCTGTCTGTAAACTTTTCACATTTTCGACTTCTTCTCAAGAACCGCTGGGCCAATTTCAACCAAACTTGCCACAAAGTATCCTTGGGTGAAGGGGATTCAATGTTTTTCAAATGAAGGGCCACGCCCTCATTCAAGGGGAGATAATTGGGAATTAATGAAAATTTGGTGGCATATTTTAAAAATCTTCTTCTCCAGAACCACTGTGCCAGGAAAGATGAAACTTATGGGGAAACATCCTCAGGTAGTGTAGATTCAAGTTTGTTCAAATCATGACCCCCCGGGGGTAGGGCGGGGCCAAAATGGCCGACCAAAGTTTTACATAGAAATATATAGGAAACTTCTTTAAAAATCTTCTTCTCAAGAATGACAAAGCCATAATTCATCATATTTATATGAAAGCATGTTCAGGTAGTGTAGTTACAAGTTTGTTCAAATCATGACCCCCGGGGGTAGAGCTGGGCCAAAATGGCCGACCAAAATTTTACATAGAAATATATAGGAAAATTCTTTAAAAATCTTCTTCTCAAGAATGACAAAGCCATAATTCATCATACCGGTATTTATATGGAAGCATGCTCAGGTAGTGTAGATTCAAGTTTGTTCAAATCATGGCCCCCCGGGGGTAGGGCGGGGCCAAAATGGCCGACCAAAGTTTTACATAGAAATATATAGGAAAATTCTTTAAAAATCTTCTTCTCAAGAATGACAAAGCCATAATTCATCATATATATATATGGAAGCATGCTCAGGTAGTAGAGTTTCAAGTTTGTTCAAATCATGACCCCCCGGGGTAGGGCGGGGCCAAAATGGCCGACCAAAGTTTTACATAGAAATATATAGGAAAATTCTTTAAAAATCTTCTTCTCAAGAATGACAAAGCCATAATTCATCATATTTATATGGAAGCATGCTCAAGTAGTGTAGATTCAAATTTGTTCAAATCATGACCCCCAGGGGTAGGGCTGGGCCAAAATGGCCGACCAAAGTTTTTAAAGATATATATAGGAAAATTCTTTGAAAATTATTTTTTAAAAAATAGCAAATCCATGATTGGTCATGGGACTACTTTTGGATTTAAACTTTACAATAAAAAGCCATTTTCTACTTTTTCCTACCCGTAGTGCTCAGGTGAGCGATGTGGCCCATGGGCCTCTTGTTGACTTCTATTTTTAGTTTGGGTTTCTGAGGAGGAGGAATGATGGGAGCACAACAATGACCTTATTGAACCCAGACAACGACGGCATCTGTAAGGTTTTACACACTAAGCTCTTTTATAAGAGGATTCATATATTCAAATTCCTTTATGAAAATGCACCTTGATGATGTAAACAATTAGTTTGACAAAAAAGACCACCTTAATGCTGTCATCTTGCCACCCATATGTTGACAATTTCAAATGATCTTTTCATTACTCAGACATGAAGTTACCTGTATTTATGAAAATTAAGTCTACAAGGAATATTGTTTAACCTGATTATCTTCAATTTTCAGTGAATGAGAAAGAGCGAGTTGTTAATTTGGGATCACTGGTTGGCAAACTGACAACAGGTTCTGGTACAATAACTGGGTTCAAAGAGGACAAAAGAAATCGTCTTACACCAGGTGAGGCAAAGAGGATAATCATCTAAAAATAGGCATTCTCATTTTACATGTATTTACTTGTATTTTTGAAAAAGATAGTGATAGTTTTGACTTAATGACTTTAAATTATTCCCTAGGCACCATTGGATACTGCTAAAATTAGTATAAAGACTACAATATTCAGTGCATTTCTATGAAGAAACAAAGAAATGCATGATAATGTAGAGAAATATTTTATATAAGATTTGAATCAATACAGATGGTTGTTCTTTGTCATAAAAATGAAACTAATGGAAGAATTGTCATTTTTGTTTTCAGTTATGTATTTGAATTACGGCCCCTTTAGTTCCTATGGACCTCAGTATGACTCCACCTTTGCCAACATGTCAAAAGCGGAATCAGACCTGCTGCTTTCTACATATGCTGATGAGACTGGTGTGCAATATGCTAAGAGGTAATTCTATCATCTGAACTACAACTTATTGAAAAATTCTTAAGATTTTTTAGTGATATGAGTACAAGTTTTGTTGGTTTCTTTATACTTGAAGTGTGACCTCATTTGTTGAGAATTCTGGAGAATTCGCCATTGCTATGGTGGATCATCTTCTAGACATACTGACCAAGGGAGAGCACTCTAAAGCAAAAAAGCAGTTAGAAGAAGTAAGTGGTTTTATTTCCTAAAATTCCTGGAAGCTTTTTATCTCATGCATGGTCATTCACAAGCCAGTTTGATACATGTATTTGGATATACCTGTAGCTACTGAGGTTTGCAAAACAAATCTGATTTGATCTTAAATTCTTAATCTGCTTGTATATTAATCACATTTTGGGATAATATTGAAAGAGTGGTTTGTGTTGTTGTGAGAATACCGTGTAAGTGGGAATTTTAGCGAGACGCAAATTTAGTGATTTGGCCTTAAAATTAGGTATTTTATTTTTAGTGAGAAGTAATTTTAGCGATATTCAAAAGCACACCAGAGAAGCATAACAAATACAACACAATTTTTATCAATATTAAATTTTAGCGATCTGTAACGCTCGCTAATAATGCCAAAATTAAATCCTCGCTAAAAATTCTGCTTATATGGTATATGACATCAAGCTGAGATGAATTCCTTTGTCAATACAGATTTATTGACTCGATGCTCTTTGATTTAGATTCATGCAGCTGAAGAAAAAAGCAATGAGGCAGCAGGAACCTCAGGGACTCAGTCAAACTCGGACACAAAACCTGTCAACATCGACATCAACTCACTCAAGAGTCTCACCGACATAGGGGTGGATGTCTCTTTTCTAGATAACTTTGGTATGTAGAACTGAAGGACTTCAATCTTCAACTTCACTTAACTTTAGTTGACTAAGTTACTGGTATTTCTTAAATTAATTTAAATAGAGTTTTGTACTTCTTATTTGTTTTTACTTGGGTACAGAAAAAATGACAGAGCCAGTACAAAAGGACCCTGTTCAGGAGCGTCTGGACCAGACAGCAAGCCTAATCAATGACCTCTCAGCTACTCAGAAGGAGAGACTGAGCGCTCGACTCCCGACGCATCTGGCCCATGTACCAGGGCCGTCAGAAAAAGAGATTCAGCTGGCACAGAAAGTCACACAAGAGCTCAAGGAACTCACTAAGGAGGTCAGAAAGCTTTATACAGTAGTCAAGTCAATGTTCATTTCAAGACATGAAAAGTATGATCAGTATTTTTTCACATGCATGTTCTGATACTGCATTAATATATGTACATATTGTATATTGGAGAGAATTAAGATAAACATTTGAGTTACAGATCAATATAAATGTTTCTGTTTTATAATCTTAATTTATTTTGGAGGTTAAGTAATTAATTGAAATTCAGGAAATATGTAATTAATACTAGTGTATTCTATCGAAATATCCAGTTTCTTTCAATACAAGATGAATACTGCTGAAAATACTAATTTGATAGAAACCTGGGGCTGCTTGGTATTCTTTACCTAAAGAGGAAGAGACGACACTTTCAGATTTTAGTTATATCCCTTGTAAGTGTGAAATTTTTCCTGATTTATTTTTAGGTGACCCCAGCTGATATCTCCTCGGTCCAAGGATTAAGGTCTGCCATGGGAATCACACTTAACCCAGTCAAAACAGAACCAGTGGAAGAAACTGTACAACCTCATCCTGTGGCCAACCAAAACTCACAAGACATAAATACTGATCATGTGACTGATAATTCAATTGTACCAGCCAATCAAATTGACTCTAATAGTGCAATGCCAGTACCACAGTTAGATGAGGATGACATGGATACTGACATAAGTGAATTTTTACAGTTTCCATCACAGTAACTTTCTATATTGATCTACAACATTGTGATCATGAATTCTGTTTTTTGTGTGTACTGTGCTTTATGTGAGAGGACTGGTATGGAGAGAATAAGATACGGTACTAATGCATAGCAAACTCAGTCAGTGTTGTTGTAGGGTGCTTAAAAGCAAAATCAGTGCTGTGCCATTTGTGAATCTATCATTAATGGCAAATTGCAGGTTAAACTAACTGTTGTCAGTCATGAAATATATTTCATATATTGTAAATGTACCTTCAGGTGTTTTTTGTGCAGATTTTAAAAAATTATTAAAAATTACATGGAAACTTTTTCAACTGTATTTAATGAAAATTTTTTCATACAATCTTCAAAAAAGGAATTTGCCATTGCTAAGGGGATGACTATCACTTTTGGTCTTGGTATGGGCAAAAATTATATGGCCAATACACAGAACAATTTTGCTTTAATAATAATATACAATATGCATTTTGAAAGTTCTGAAATTGCTTGACAAATGTAAAATAATAACTATTTAATGGAAGTTATTGGGTTGATTATCGGTTCTTTGATATCACTGAAGAGCAGGAAAATACATGGTATACATATTCTTGACGTAATTTTATTTTTATGACATATCCAGAATGTCTTGAGAATCTTGAGAATCCTTTTATATATATGGAAATGGAAGCCAGCATCCACAGGTAGTGTAGATTCAAGTATGTTCAAATCATGACCCAGAGGTAGGATCAGTAATATTAGATCAAAGTTTAACATATGATAAAAAAAAATCTAAGTCCAAAGGACATACCATACCCAAAACAGAACTTGACCTAGATATTCATATGATAAATCTCTATACCAAATTTCATTTCAATACGTACAACCTTTGCAAATGAAGAAAATGAATGGAATCTGCAAATAAATGAAATTTTTCTAAGTCTAAGGGGCATAACTCTGTTCAAAATGGTCTGATTTTACTCAAAACAGAACTTGGCCTAAACATTTTTCTGATAAATCTGTTTACCAAATTCCCTATCAATATGTACAATATCTGCAAAGAAAATGATCAGAAACTGTAAATAATTGGAATTTATCTAAGTCCGAGGGGCATAACTCTGTTCAAAATGGTCCGATCTTACCCAAAACAGGACTTGGCCTTTATCAGGATTTGATAAATCTGTATTCCAAATTTCATTTCAATACATGTATATGCAAATTCTCTGCGAAAAAAATGAACAGAAACTGATGGTGGACCGACAGACAGACCTACCGACCAACAGCAGCAAAGCAATATGCCCTCCCTTCTTCGAACGGGGGGGGGGGGGGGGGGGGGGGGGGGGGTGTCATAAAAATCATTAAAAGTATCTGTTGATTTAAATATTTCCATGCCACACAATGCATTTTATACTATTACTTCACCTTCGCAGTTTTTATTTTTGCCCAACATTAATCAAAGATGCATGAAAGATGATTCCAGTCTGTTTCATTGTACCAGTCAAGGTTCAGATGCTGCAATGTTCAGCAAAAGGAATTGCCAGGTTTATGTTTTATAGCAGGTTATGATTTTTGAAGCAGGTCCCATGCCCAAGTAACTATAAACCTTAAGCTGACCAAACTTGCAAGGATGATACATGTAAGGATGCACATTACTTGCATCAGATACCGAATTTGATCAACATTATCCAGATGAGTGGCCAAGTTTACGTTTTTACCAAGAATCTGTCGGTCTCTACCCAGAGTTATCGATCCACTCATACGTGTTGTAGCAAAGCCTAATACACCCTCTGGTGAGAGATTGAGAATCTTTAAGCTTATCTTTACCAAACATGCGCGGATTTAGAAAATGGGGGTCGGGGTATCCTTGAATTTTTTTGAGTTATTAAACCAAGTAAAAGTGAATAAAAAAGTGAAATAGGAGGTGCACAATGGCAATATATGTAATAAAGATTCTGTGAAAGTTTCATTAAATTTCACTCAGTAGTATTAGAGGAGTTGCGGATAAGAGATAAAACAGACGGACGGACAGCTAGACGTAAAGAAGGACGGACGGACGGTCGGACGGAAATCCCGATTACTATATACCCTCCCACTTTTCAAGCGGGGGGTATAAATATTTTTATTATATGATTGAATAATTTCCATCTCTCTGATTGGCTGAGATCCAACTATGTTAGAAAAATACTACGTTGTTTTGACCTGCACGTGACTTTACAGGTCAATACAAGGATTTATTTCCTCTACATTGATCTAAAAATAGATCGGGAATTTCCAAATTGATACAAATTGTTTTGGAAAGCTATTTAAAAGACTATGATTTTTTTTCATGTGAACAAAACATAAGGGAATATATATTTTAGGGTGAGGGTGGTAAGAGGGGATGCAGGGACCCCCCTCCAAAACTTTTACTGAACAACAATTTTTTTTTACTTTCTGGCAGTCAGTTTTCCCTGATAATACGCCTTCTTTTCAAAATCTATCCCATAAAAAAGACTGGCGTTATATTTTTTTTTCAAGGCAACTAAAATTAAAATAAAAAAAAAAACATTTCAAATTGATACGACTGGTAAGGTTTCTTCACATTTTCATTCTGCTTCTCTCTTGTATTTGGCTATAGGACTTAATAAAATGCAAACAAGTAATGAGCTTTATCATTTTATCAGTGAATCATATAATAAAACAATTATTGCTGTTTTTTCGGTCAATACAATGATTTAGCCATCTTCGAAGTACAATATTCACCTCGCCCTTCGGGCTCGGTGAATATTGTACTCCTCAGATGGCTAAATCATTGTATTGACCTCAAAAACCAGCAATAATTGTATAATATCTATAGAGCAATCGATATTTAGCTGTTTTTTGATGAAATTTACACACGTTTTTTATTTCTTATCAAGAAACTTCTGGGATGTAATTTGTTTTTCTGTGGTAACCCTCCCCCCTTCCTGAAAACAATTTCCTGAATCCGCGCCTGGACGTAAACGCGGTGTGGCTACCAAGGCTACGGTCCTGAACGCGACCCAGGGGTAGCGGAAGTTGGTAAAAATGGTCCCTGATCGATTAAAGTTACCACTAAATACAAACAAAAACAACTAATTCGAATGTTAAATTGGAATTTTTCCTGCATCCGACTGAGATATTGGATCGTTGTTGTCAAATTCTTTCCAGCGAGGAGATGGCTGTGCCTAATACCCGCGAGGAGGGAACAACACAATCCTAATTCGTACCAAGGCTACGGTCCTGAATGCGACCCAGGGGTAGCGGAAGTTGGTAAAAATGGTCCCTGAATTCCATTAAAGTTACCACTAAATACAAACAAAAACAACTAAATCGAATGTTAAATTGGAATTTTTCCTGCATCCGACTGAGATATTGGATCATTGTTGTCAAATTCTTTCCAGCGAGGAGATGGCTGTGCCTAATACCCGCGAGGAGGGAACAACACAATCATATTTCGTAGGAAATTCTTGTATTATTTGTGGATTTTCTTTTGAACTAACTGTCATTTATTGTGATGGAACCTCGGAGATAAAGAAATTATGCGAAAAAAAACTTAAATTAAATACCGAACGGAAGAGTAAAATTGAATATGCTATTGAAAGAGAAGTTAGAGTAAATGATACAGCTGGATGTTGTCAAAAATGTTTTCGTAGAGTAGAAAGAATCATTAAAATTGAATGTGATTTAAAAAGAAAAAAGCGAGAACTGGCTGAGTCATTTGACAAGACTTTAAACCGCAGAAAAAGTCCTCAACCCTTAAATAAAACAGAGGAACCAAATGTCCCTCTTTTGTTCAGACGAAAAAGATCACTCGAAACTTTCTTTCAAAACAAAGAGAAGGAAGACATCGACATAGAGGAAGGGAGAGAAAAAATAAATCAGGTACAAGTAGACAACAAATGATGAACAGAGAAAGAGAGGGATATGCTTGCTCGCTTTTTGTTCAGTTGCTAGCAAATTGAATAGTGTATACATGGTATAGTTAGCCGGTTAGATTTAACAGGGACCTATATACTAATTTTAGTATATAGGTCTCTGGATTTAATAATTAGATTTGCAAATTTGGTCGAAGGTAGATGTTCTGAAATTAAGGGGGAATAAAATAATTCTTGAACTATTAAACCTTGCCAATAATAGTTATATGAAATGTTTAAGATATAAATTTCAGTCGACTGCAGATAGAGTAGCTCAACCATGCAAACGACACTATGCTGACAGTGAAAACACAGGTTCGGAGGCTGACACAGCACCACCTAACATTACAACGAAATACCGACGAATTCTCCCCATGCCCGACAATACTAAGAATACAGCAGCAGCAGAGGAAACTGTATGGTTAGTAAAGACAACAGAATCTTGTACTGATCACATGACTGAACATGATAAACAGTCAGCAAAAGAAACGTTGGACTTGGTAAAGGTTGGTATTATTATCCCATAATGTGAAAAAAATATTTAACATTTTTGAAAAGTACGTCAAACATCAAGATTGTAGGATCAAGAAACATAGTGTATTTAGAAAGGTCTTGTCACAGGCAATACACACTTTAATATTAAAGCCCTATCTCTTCTCATTCAAAAGTTATGACCAAAGTTAAAGTTATATAAAAGTAAGTCAACTTCAAGGTCAAGGTCATAAAGTCAAGAAATCATAGCATTTTAGAAAGTTCTTGTCACAGGTAATTCACATGTTTAATATGAAAGCCCTATCTCTTCTCATTCAAAAGTAATGGCCAATTCAAAGTAATGTTAAAATTTTTTAAATTTTAAAAGTAGGTCAAACTTCAAGGTCACAGGATAAAAAATAATAGTGTATTTAGAAAGATATTTAGAAAATGGGGGACAATAAATATGATTATTTAGTCCAGTTATTGCCAAAGAGCTACAATGGGATAATTAAGTCATATAATCCCAAGAAAATAATTGTTGTCATTCTTAAATCTTTTTAGTGATAAAGTGAATGAGCCCAGGTTACAAAACTTAATATCCATAACCTTTCGAATGACAAATTCTGCCCCTAATTGGCCTGTCACACTTTGTTAGTCTACCAAAACTATTTGTTAACATGACTGAGAAGATTTATCAAATGTATGATTTTCAATTATCAGAATTTTTCAGGAAATCAATCCAATTATCAATAAACTTGACAATATTTTCACCAGTAAAACTCGGTTATAGTGAAGTCACTAGGACTTGAAAAATTACTTCTGATCACTATATCCATAATTCGTTATATTCATTATATTCATATAGGGAATTCGTTAAATTAATGTAGTTGGGGATCCAAGATAACTTCGCTATATCCGTGAATTTGCAATATCCGTGTTCGCACTAAACAAGTTTTACTGTATTATAAAAAATGTGAGCCAAAACTTTTTTTTCCAACACAAGCCAGAGTCAGACTAACAAATTAATGGCAAAAATTTACTGGCCCAATTAAAGCACATTCTTCTAGCCCCTTATATTGTGAAAAATAAAATGACAGTTAATTTCATTCATTTAATAGCATGTTTAGTTACAATTAAGGTTAAATACTGACATTTTAAGGATGTGTACGATGGGGTAGTAGGAAGGTGCTTTGAATTAATTGTAAAGATTTACATTTGAAAAAGGTGAAACCAAGACTTCAATATCTTGTAGATTTAAATATTTATCCAAATAAACTTGTAAATGATTTTGATATGACTTTAAACACTTCAGTCGGAAAAAGTGCCTTGGACCATATTTAATGGGAGGGACTGCATTCTTATTAGAGTGGTTACCTTAGGAATGGTTTTTCCTAATGACTGAGTGATTGAATGGTAAAATGGCTGATACAAGTATACAAGTCTACAACACATACCTCTATCATGGGAAATATTTTTTTGAAGGTGTCAGATCAGTCATTAAGTCCTGCCACTGAATTTCCTCTCCATCCAGTCAAAACAGAACCGGTAGAGGAAACCAGAGACTCCAAACCAGTAGACAATCAAGATTTAAAGACTCCTCAGGTGACTAAAACTCCTTTTTTTGAAAAAAAAAATCAGGCACCTTAATAATGATTCAATGATTTTATATGTTTAATCTCATTAACCTTGCATCAATAAGTGATAGAAAAGTAAAAACTTTGTTCTTAAGAAGAGGTGTTTTATACTTTTATCTTTGTGTGTGTGTCTCTCTTTCTACTGCAGTTTTTTTTTATTTCAAAACCCTTAACAATATACAAAATATATTATTTTACAAGTCAACACTATGTCAGATAAATGGATTTTTTCACAAAAATCCTAAAACCACTATCTCAGTAGCTTTTCTTGTAAGAGAGTTAGATTCTTTTGATTCTATGAAATAAGTTTTTATTTTTAGGATGCCAAAGACAATATTTCGTCTGTCCAGGTGCTACATTCTGCCATTGGTGTTACTTTCCAACCAGTCAAAACAGAACCAGAAGAAGAAACAATAAAACCTGAACCAATAGCCAATCAGAAATCTCAAGAAATAAGCACCAATCAGGTGACTGATAACTTCTCACCAATAAAATAGACTTTAACAACAATGCTTCACTGAAGTCTACAGTTTCCTTTCAAGTTCGTATTATCATCATTGAGAACTATTGTCATAAAACGTCTTGTGTGTAGCAAACTTTAATTGAAGCTTTCCTCGTAAAATGATCTGAAAAAAGAGAGAATCATTTTACATTGAAATATAATAGAAAAATCTTGAAAAATGTCCTTCTCGAGAACCACTTTGTCAAAAAAGCTGAGATTATATGAAAGTTCCTGAGGAAGTGTAGATTTTAAATTGTGCTAGGGTGTGGCTGCCATAGGGAGTCCAAGTTGACATTGAAATTAATGAAAAAATTTGCAGTTATACTTTTCCTGTAGCCAAAGAAATGATTTTTTGTATAAAATTCTGATAGGAGGATAAGTGTGCCACAACTTTGGAAGGATTTGTTATGATAATATGCATTTCTTTCTGAAATTCTATTTATATGTATAAATTGGAGGACAGGGGTGGGGGGGGTGTCCCTAGTAGTAGTAGATAAGAGATCTCTCCTAATACAAGACTAAATGTTTTTTTTTTTATTTATAGTCATCACCAGCTGATGTTTCACCAATCCAAGTACTACAGTCTGCTATTGGTATTATTCTTCAACCAGCCTTGGACCCGTTGATGGTAGCCAATAAAAACTCTCAAAATGTAAACACTAATCACATGACTGATAGTTTATATATTGTGACAACCAATCAAATTAATCCCATAGGAGTATTACCAGTTTGCCAAATGCCAATTCAGCAATGATTCAAAAACTTTTTTTAATTGTTTTTACCTACTTTTCATGAGTTATTGTCAGAATACTATATTTGTCTTTTTCACAATAAATATTTTTATTCTTGGAAATTGAGTTCTTTTAAAAACATGAAATACAGCTCAACATACTTTTTAAACTCACGTGGTTTTTCGCACAAATTAAGGTCACATTGTTATAAGGCAAAAATTGTACAATGTGATAACAAAATATATTTTAAAAATGATTTATAACTTAATTTTTATCATATCCAATTACTTTAAACATAGTTCACACATAATAATTCGTAGAATTTTTATATGCTCTTGGTTGATATCTTATGAGAGTTTCCAAATGGTTTTTCCATGTTTCTCGTCAAATGCAACCGTCTTGGTATCCGTTCATTTTAAAGCATACTTTTGCTTTGCCTTAATACAGAAAGAGTGCAGTTCATGTAACTTCTGTATTTTCTGAACATTAATATAACACTAAGGCGCAAGATGATACAAGTATTTTTCATCTGTTCGACTGCTTTCCATGTTAAAAAGATGGCATTTTTCAGGTTAACTTCTTGAAATCTAAGATCATAAAAGATACCCTCCAACGCAACATTTCAAAGATTCAGACCATAAATGTAAAAGAATTCTCTTTTTGATATTTACGATTTACTTTGTTGAAAGATAAACAATACTTTATCATCCTATCCTTTTACATGCTTTCTTCACGATTTCTTCATGCAGTTTACATTTCAACCAAATAGTATCAAAGAAAGTTCCATTAATTAATTTGTAAAAACCTATGATAAGCTCATACACATTTAACATCATACAATTTATAAACAAATTTGCTTTTAGACCATTAACTTTTAAAACAAAAGATAATGATTTTAGAGAATGTGCACCTTTAACATGAAACAATTTAATACTATATGGGTTATATCTCGTACCGAAACTCGATAATATTAAGCTTTATTGCGAGAAAAATGTGACTTTATTTTGTGCGAAAAACCATGTGACTTTAAAAGTTCGTTGAGCTGTATTTAGCTTTACACAACAAAGACGTACATGCTATATTTCACAGTCGTTGGCATACCAGTTTTTAATTTAAGAGGCGTATTTCCTTAAAAGATAAGCCCAACCTGAAGCAACCTTGCACAGATGATAAATTTAGAAATGTAGAATAGCAGACTTGCATATGATGTAATGTTGTATTTGACCTAAAGTTTTTGAAGAGCTACTTTATAGAGCTGGTGCGATTTAAAGTACATGTAAATACTGATGGTACACTGGTACAGTAATTTTGATTCTAATTTAGTCATTTTCCATAGTACTAGGGAGGGTATCGCAAAGAATTGGGTATAGTAAGAAAAAAAAGACATAACAAATGTGCTGAGATTTATTTTCAAAGGTTTGTTTTGAATACTTCAGTTCATCAGACTTTGCTAAGAAATTGGGTTTTTCATCACTCTGTGCACCTGGTAGCTGATAAACTCAACCAATTCTTGTAGAGCCTGGTCACTCACTTTAAACTGAAACCACCCTTTGTTTCCAGCAAACGGAAAGAAGCCATGGAAGGCTTGTTTGTAGTGTTTTAATTTCACCTTGGAACCACTTTCTTGATGCAGTCTCGTGACGTACATGACTGCCTCATCCCTAAACACATCGAATTGGGAAGTTATTATATAAACATTGGGAACACCTCTAACATTATTGGTTAGTGCTGGGCAAAGAGATTCCGAAACTATTAAGTTTTTCAATTTATTGCTTATAACACTGTCGTATTCCTTTGATTGAATAGTATGCGACTCTGTCAGCTTGAGGTAGGAAGGTAGGTAAGTTTTTGAGTCTAAATATGATTGGTGTTTCATGACTTCTGGTGAAGGGAATCGATGAGCATTCTTAAGTAAGGCTGGGAACCAGCTTACAGAATGACCAGTATATCTTAACCACCGAATAGCTGATCTTGCAGGTGATGTCACACCTGTTAGCAATTCTTTATGATCTTGGAAGGATGGGGTATGGAAATCAAACATTTGCAACATAGGATTTATAAGGATCTGCATGAAAATTTTGGAACGAAATTCTGTAGCCAGAGAAGCCGCCATGTTGCCACCAGCCTCATCTCCGGCAATAATGACATAACCAGTATGGATTGAAAGTCCACTTTTCCCCGCCAACGTTGCCCAAGTAACATTACGGCAGTCTTCCAGATTGGCTGGAAAGACATGTTCAGGAGATTGTCGATATCTTGGTGCAATGATCAGTAATCCCGTGGCGTTAGAAAGATGGCTGAGAAATCGACTGTAGACATCTACGAAAAAACATTCAACACAAAATATAAATAGTATTTGAAAAGACCTTGCGAATATAATTAGCTTGTTACGCACAATTACGAATACTTACCAACGGATAGCCAGGACCAGCCTCCCCCGTGTAGGTATATCATGGCGGGAAAGATGACAGTCTTATGTTTCCTTGGAATGAACACACGCACTGGAACGTCTGCTATCGCTGTGTCCAGAATCTGTGGAAAAGAATATATATTAAAATTAGCCCCTTCACGCGGTACTGCTCTTCTGCAGGATAAATTAATAACGTTTGGCGGAGTTTTTGTTGATAAATAATTAAATGACATTATTTAAACAATTACTTTTACGTCATATTTCACCAAAATATACCATTTTGCCCTGCAAAAGAGCAGTACCGCAGTTATCGTGAAAGGGTCTATATGGCCAACCTTCTCTAGAAGGGTTATATCTCAGCTAGGATCAACTGTGACAGTGTCAAAGATTCAAAGGGGTTAAAGAGATGAGATCGAGCTACCTCAATATCTTTATTTGCTTCTGGAGAGAATCCATTCAGAATAAAAGAGTACACACTGTCCACCAGAGATTTTACTGGTTTTATTGCCGCGAGGTCCACTCCAATCTTCGCTGCAGTCAACACCTGGGAGATGAATGACTTTGTATGTAAAATTAAGAAGAAAAGTAGGTATTTGAAATTTCATTTACAATTTTTTTTTGCCTTTCTATGGTGTTTTAAAATTAAATTGTACAAACCAGACTGTTTCCGGTACGACCGATGGCGTCCAGTACCGATATTTTGTCACTATCCTCCAAATCCAGGGGAATGGGGTGACGTAATGAGTTGTAAATCTGGTAACCAATAGCAGCAGCGAAAATGGCGATCACTATTGGCCATTTTGACATATTCAGACGATTTTGCACTGTATAGAATCCCCGTTATTCATCGGAAACAATCGGATATGATAAAGCCTATAATAATTTTACGTTTACCACCGGAACTGATTAAAGTTTACATTGATGAAGTTCCCCTTTAAGACGCTATCTTTGAACATTGATCCCGGAGACTTATAGATTTGTCTCTTTATCTCGTTACAAGTCTGTACTCTTCATATTTATTATCTTGTTTTAGAGATAAAGATTAAGCATACCCACATAAACTTAAATCATCGCCCGGAACACCTCCCTCCACCGAAAAATATAACTTAAAAAACAATGGCTATTGCTTATGATCCTGTTTGAATACTGATAAAATTTGAAGAAAATAAAATAAACAACGTCGTTGTCGGCTTGGCTGAGATCAGGTGCCCATTTCAAACTGTATGATGTTATATAGTCTCTTACAATCTTTATGTCTTTTATTGCATTGCAGAGATCGGAATGAGATCTTTCCACTTGTATATCATTTAGTATATATAGTACCTGGTTCTACCGAAAACAACAGCATAAGGGTAAAGAATTCATGTTTGTTGAAGCGTTATGCTGTTGCACCTGTTTTTTTAAAACTTTTAATAATAACTCACTTACATTGTTTGAAGTGATACATATCAAACTAAATAATGTTTTATTAAGGTTCAGTTTACTTTTTACAGAAAGAAATGTGATTAAAAATGTTGAAGTTATGCATAAATGTGTGTAGTTATACCTTTGTTATATAATTTATAATTTTTCAGTTCTTGAATTTTTTCATCATGCATTTCTAGCAAAAACGGAAACAACATTTTATGTGAAAATCTTTATTTTACATAAGTAAATACAGTTCTTGGTAAAAAAAATAATTTGGTTATGTTGTTAAGCATGTGTACTTTTGAAAACTTTTTTTTTCTTATTGGTGAAATATTTTGTATAGTCCGTAGCCCCACATTTCATTTCAGTTTTTGTTAAACAAAACAAAATATATTTTATCATGATTTTGTTTTTTTTATTTACAGAGTTACCAGTTACGGATACAACAGTAATGATTAGCCTTTTCCCTGTCACAAAAAGTTTTAGATGAATGATTGGTGTCCGTAGCCCTTAAATAATAACTTCCAAATACGTCAGAAATATTATCCAGAAATTGATTTTAATACACTTAAATGTTTTATTAGAATTACGTACTAGTACTTCAATGTTTTAAAATTCAAATACCTTTGAATTTAGATAAAATGTTTGAATTTTCAACATTTTAAGGTTAAGGCTAACGGGCTTGTTCTCATGCATCGCTGTGTCTGTGATTACTTATTGTTTGTAAATGTGAAAAATACAGATTTTTACATTTTGATGTAAACTTTCCATCCATTTAGCATACTTAGCATTGGAACATTCAAAACAGAATAATCAGTCATACAGTTCTTACTGACTAAAGGGGGTACGGACTATTCATGGAAACTTACCAGATACTTCTATTTTAGCAAGGACCTGAAATAATTCTGCTCCAAGGACAAGATCAGTGGCAACAAAAGCAGAAGCTACAAAGGAAGGGGAGCCGGGTCCATCAAAGAAAACACTTAAAATGCGGAGATACAGAAATGATGTTCGAAAGGACCCAGACAGACTTGAAAAAATGAGAGAGAAAGACAGAGAAAGAAAAAAGAAAAGAAAAAGAAGAGCAAAGGAATAAAATAATAAATGGAGACAGAAACCTTGGGGAAAAAAATGAAAGAAAAACATAGGAAATGTGTGGCCAAATATAGAGCAAAGAATAAGCTTAAGAAAAATAAAAAGGATGCAAATCAAGAATCAAAAAACAAAATAGTTTTGCGAATACAAAGGTGGCGTCTACGTGTGAAGTTATCTCGCAGCAAGAAAGCAATATCATCTGATTAGGAAGTAGAGAAATCAGGTGACATTGATCAAAAGTTGATGCCAGGTGAACATTCAGATGATATTGCAGGTTTAATGTCACGGTACAAAATCAGATGAGAATAATAATTCAACACCCATGCAAAGCAGAGAGCAGGATAATATATTATCAACTCCTAGAAAATCCAATGATGGTGGCAATTCACAGAAATCTCCAAGTAGGTGGACTATTTACCGAGGTGTAAAAAAGTTCAATGGGTGTAAAAAAAAAGTTCAGCGGGTATTACCTGCAACTCCCCATAAAGAAGTCGCAATAATAAAGAAACTGATTAATTCGCCATCTACTGGCAGGGCACCAGAAGAAAAAGGAAGAATAATGACTACCAAGGCCAAAAGAAACTAGATTTAGCAGACAGTTTGATTGAACATTTTTCAAGAAATATCACTCAAGTAAAGCCCAAAAATGGCCATCATCTCGCAGAGCTTACAAAACTGCTGCATATAGTTGCTTCTGCAGCTACAATTTGTAAGAAATATAGTATCCAAAGCAAACTCGCATTATTTGATAATATAAAATAATGCCCGTTTGCTTTGGATACTATATTTCTCTTAATATTGATCAGAAAACTGGAAGTTAGAGGAGCTATAATATTAGTCGAACCCTATATACGGGGTAAACGGAAGTCACACAAAAATTACCCTAAAAACGGGGGTACGCGCATTAAAAGATATTGAAAAAAAGTGCTGTTTTCATGGAAAAACGTGTGGTCAACAAAATATACTCGTGCAAAGTAATGGATTATTTCGTAAGCTCTGAAAATGTACTCAAATTTGTATAAATGAAAAAGATGTTTAAAGAGATATTGCGAAAAAAGTATATTTTATTGCTAAAAACACACAATATATTGTCTCTCCCAAAGTTAGCGTATTCTGTGCCTTGATCTCCATGCTTGATACAACTAGATTTTTTTACTCATAATTTAATAAAACGGAAGAATAAACAAACAATGATTTGTTTAAAGTTAAACTGCATATGATTCCCTTCCCCGGTATTACAAATCTTATGTAATTAACATGTTATTTATTATTTTTCGAATAACATTATTTGTTCCGTCATAAAATTTAATATGTCCTTTAAACAAACTTATGTGCTTCAGAAATGAGGTAAATAAAAGCGATAACATTTTAATTATTTTTTTTAATTGAAAACAAAGGTGTAGACAATTCATTTTTGTATGTTTGTGATTTTTAAAAAAAATATTTATTTTTTAAATAAGAAGTGTTATCGTTCTTGAAATATATACGCTTTCGCGCGTTGCAAAAATGGGAATAAAACCAAATCTGTTTGAGGGTATACCCCCTTTAATATTGATCAGAAAACTGGAAGAAGAGCTCTGAAAAATAAGCATCAGCATTGGTGGAAACCAGACATAAGTAAAAAAAAAAAAAAAAAAAAAAAAGGAAGGATCGAGTAGATAAATGTACACGTAGAAAAGTTCAGGACTTTTATTTGTCTGGAGAAGTCAGTAGAGAAGTACCTAACAAAAAAGATGTAGTCTGCATCAAGGTTGGTGGTAAAAAAGATTTTTTCCAAAAACATGTAATGAAAATGACAACAAGTGTTGATTATACATGGTTTTAGTCTCAAAACAAAGACATTAAGATAAGGTTTTCCACATTTAAACCGAAGAATGTGAGGCGAATTTAATTTATGAAGAAACATGACAATATTTAAGCTTTTGGAATAAAGGCAGACAAGACAATATTAACAGAGGAAACAGTGTGCAAGGTTTCAGAAGGTGAACATCATAGAAATGATTGTCTGAAAAGATTGTGCAGTAAATTTGCTACACACAATACAAGAGAGTACTTAAAACTCGTAGTAGCCCTTTGTTCCAAAGAGAATATCACAATAGATTGGCATAAAAGGGAGGATACGCTGGTTGATAAGTGTGATATCAATGGCAATTCAAAGAAACGACTTATGACATGTAAGCCTAAAACAACCACGTTCAGCATATTTGTTGAAGACCTTGAGGTTGCGCTGAAAGAATACCCTATTCATAAATTTCGTGCTGAATGGCAGCAAACAAAGCAGAGTGCCTGTAAGGATCACCTGAAACCTAACGAACTGATGATGGCTATGGAAATTTATAAATGCAAATTCCCGAATGAAGTCCAGAGTGCTTTCTTTGATCAAGCTCTGGTAACAATTCGTCCCATCATGTGTTACGATAGGCAGAAAGCAGAAAACATAGAGCACCTTTTCCAACATTCAATAATTTGTATCTCTAATGACTTAAAACATGACTAAATTTAGTCAAAGTCTTAGAAGACCGAAGCCTAGCCTTCATCGAGGAGCAACAGAAATTGGACTGAATTTATCAGTGGACAGATGGATACGGTGCTCAATATAAGTGTAAGACTGCTTTTGGTTACCTCAGCTATAGGCAAGGAAATATTAGTCGAAACTATTACAAGACCAGTCATGGAAAACATGTCTGTGATGGACTTGGGGCAGTGGTGAAGAATAGATGTTATCGTGCAATGCTAACTGGCAAGTTGATTGGAAATGCAAGTGATCTATTGAAACATTGCCACGACACATTGGCTCACAATATGATTATATCTGAGAAGGTGAGGAGAGTTTCAATTAGTTTGTATTTGTGGACAAGGATGAAGTAGACATAAGTAATGTGCCAGTGGTAGAAACTCTAATTGTAACTAGGAACTGCATCAGGTAAGAAATACGCAGACATCGCTGAAAGTGGAAAGTAGGAATCTCTCTTGCTATTGCTAGGGATGTATCGGTAACTATCAATGCCAAAACAGTGAATATGTTGAGGAATGGACTGCAGCTGACCTGAAATGTATCCTTCAATTTCTGTTTTCAGTTACTGTAAATGAATGTCTTAACGTAAAAAATAAGATGTTTAAAAAAATATTAAGTTTAATTATTTATTCATTTTCAACACTAGTTCTATTATGCAAAATGAGTTTCCTTTCTGGAAATTTATATAAAACATTCCTTAAAACATTTCCTTGACTCAATAAAAGCAAAGTTGCTCAAATCCAATGCATCAGAATGTAGACAATCAACAAGATCTAGTCGGATCTAGACAGAGACGGGCTCGAATGAATGAACTTAAACTCACATAAATTGTATCCTTATTGTTTATAAGTTGTTGTTTGTTTATGCCCCTGATTTTGGGATGCAATGAATTTCTCAAGGTGGATTATAGATTTAGG